TTTTTAAAGAGTCAGGCTGGTCTGATCCAAATTTCCCTTTGCCCAATAATCCCACTTCACGGAATGGAAACTCTAGAAACCATTCAAATAAAGGGGAAAATATTTCTTTTTTTTTTAAGAAGATTTTATTTATTTATTTGACAGAGAGAGACACAGCGAGAGAGGGAACACAAGCAGGGGGAGTGGGGAAGGGAGAAGCAGGCTTCCCGCCGAGCAGGGAGCCCGATGCGGGGCTCGATCCCAGGACCCCGGGACCATGACCTGAACCGAAGGCAGACGCTTAACAGCTGAGCCACCCAGGTGCCCCGGGGAAAATATTTCTTGCAATGGAATTGTACACTGAAGTGTCATTTAAAAAAGCGAAAAAAAGGGGCGCCTGCGTGGTTCAGTCAGTTAAGCGTCTGACTCTTGGTTTTAGCTCAGGTCATGATCCCAGGGTCCTGGGATCAAGCCTCACATCAGGCTCCCTGCTAGAAGCTAAGCAGGGAGTTGGGTTTCTCCCTCTGCCCCTCCCCCTGCTCATGTTCTCGCTCTCTCAAATAAATAAATAAAATCTTAAAATTTTTATTCTTACTTCACCAAGTTTTTGAAATAAAGAAGCCAGGGCAGCCAGTATAAAGGGGGCTTTGCAGAATACATTTATAAGCCCTAACAAAGGGGACACTGCCGGCACCTGAGGGTAGGAACCACACAATCTGATGCTCCCAAGGCGAGGGCAGACCCAGGTCACAGAGAATGGGGTGTAGGGCCAGCACGGGGACTGGAAGCATGCTTCTTGGCCCCCTGTCTAGCACAAACCTGATGCAGGCTCTGAGGGTGGAGGAGGGATGCTATGTACTTACAACATCAGCTTACTCAAGATCATCCAGGGATAAGGGGAAATCCTTGAAGGGCACAGGGCACTCAAAGACACTTGAGACAGTGTGGCTGGAGAGGGGGGAGGAAAACCAGGCAAGCTGAGGGAGATTGCATTAACGCAATCTGTTCTCAAGAAATAAGCCCCGAAGGCATACATCAAGGGTGTTTCAAATATACTGAAAAAACTAGAACATCATCTCCATTAAAAGGGAATCAGTTAAATAAAAGCATATGAAACTTACTAAAACAAGTAAGGCAGACCTATATGCATTATTATAAGAAAGGCTTCAAGACACATTGATTAGGTCAAAGTAGTCAAAGACCATATAGTATGACCCACCCATACACAGAAAGCTCCCCAGGTCTCTGTATGATTAATTTATACAGAGAAGAAGGTAATCAGCTAACAGTAGTTACCTCAGGGAAGGGGGGCTGGGGAGCACAAGAGGGCTCCTACTTTTATTTTACTGTACTCCTTTTTTTTTTTTTTTTTTTAAGACTTATTTATTTGAAAGAGAGCTAGACAGAGCAAGAGAGCCCACCTGAATGGGAGGAGGGGGAGAGGGAGAGAAAGAATCTCTAGCAGATACCCCGCTGAGCGCAATTCTGGGCTCCATCTCATGACCCTGAGATCATGACCTGACCCGAAATCAAGTGTTGGATGCTTAACTGACTGAGCCACCCAGGCACCCCTGTTTTTTGTTTTTTAAATGAGTACTATGACCTGTAATAGTATCATTATTTTGGGCGCCTGGGTGGCTCAGTTGGTTAAGCGATTGCCTTCGGCTCAGGACATGATCCTGGAGTCCTGGGATCGAGTCCCACATCGGCCTCCCAGCTCAGCGGCGAGCCTGCTTCTCCCTCTGACCTTCTCCCCTCTCATGCTGTTTCTCTCTCTCTCTAATACATAAATAAGTAAAATCTTAAAAAAATAACAGTATCATATTTTGATTCTAAGACACAAGGGCTTTTTATTTTAACATCTCTGAAATTAGCATGCTGGTTACATTCACTTCTGGCATTTTAAAAAAAGATTTGACCATCTCTCCATGTTTCTTGCAGTCAATGGGATTTTTACTTTGAAGAAACAGTACAATATTAAACATAAATTCTTTATTTGAAAAAGTGTATGACAGAGTATTAAATGGTGACAAAAGGTCTGGTCAGATCAGGGCTAAACAGACTAACTGCCTTATTGGGTCTGAGTCTTCTAGAGACGCACACTGAAGTAGGTAGAGATGAAAAGACATGCTTGGGATTTGCTTCAGAACACTTCAGCAAAGAAGAAAAGGCGACAGATGAAGGGAATGTGGAACAATCTTGAAGCTATTCAATTTGGGTAGTGGGTATAATTGGGGGTCACTGAATTATTCTATTTTTATGTATAATTTGAAAATGTGCATAATAAAAAGGCAGAGAACTGCACAAGATGGTGAGCCCCACAGGGACGGGGAGCCGGCACTGTGTATCTATTTGTGGAGTTCACGGGCAAGAGGGATGTGCCGAGGAGAGGGCCCTGGTCGCCCTGGCTGAGAGCCCTGACAGGTTGAGAGTACCGGTGAAAAGAGAGAAGGGAGGCAATTCCAGAAAGAAGACAAGGCCGAGTCCCATGGATGGCGCGATGCCCTGTCCTCCCTCTGCCTCTCCCAGATGAGCCCCCTCCAAGCTACCATACTTCTCTCTGCTAAGACCCCACCCCAGCGTCCCAAGGGCCCCAGGAGGTGGCACGTACCCAGGATATGGGGCAGAGGGACTTGTACACACGACGGTACCATTCGCACACGGAGACGTCACCCCCTTTAGCAGTCATTGCCTTCTCACAGCGGTGGAAGTCTGTGGAGAGAGCAGTTCAGGGTCAGCCCGGGCCAAGGGCTAGAACACATTTTTTATCAAAACTCACAGAAATTGTCTTTACTTCACAACCAGTTACATACACACATACACCCACAAAACAAGTGTCACAAGGAATGTCTATTCCTACAGATATACTGAAAAGGGCTAGACAGGCCTTGCTAAGTTGATTTTGCAACCCCTAGACAACTACTGTTTGACTTGAAAATTTTGGGGTCTGGAATGAGGGGGCAACATGAGGGGCACGTGTGGGGATTATGAAGTCCAAAACCAGGGCAAGGGAAGGGGAAGATGATCTTGGGGCTAAGATGCTGGCATCCTACAGAGGAGGACAGGAGGGGGATAATCTGGTTTTTTTAAGTAGGCAATTAATTAAAAAAAAGAAAATTACTCCAGGTATTCCACTCCTGGGCACATTCTCTACACAGAAAAGCATTCGCATGGACATCAAATTACATTTAAGAGAACGTTTATAGCATAGTCATTCATAAAAGCCCCAAACTGGAAAGCACACAAGTGTCTGGGAATACATGATGGAAAACTGTACACAATGAAAATGAGCAAACTACACGCCACAGCAAGGATGAATCTTCAAAACTGCTGAATGAAGAAACCCAAACAAAAGAGAATATATACGATATTTGTCAAGGTCATCAAGAGGCGAACCTAAAAGCAGTGATAAAACCAAAATGTGATTGCCTTAAGCCGGCAGGGTAGCATCTCTGGTGCAGAGAGTAGGATGTTGTGTTTACGACAGGGCATGCAGTAGGCAAAGAAGCTCAGAATGCGGACAGGATCTAATTTTCTATCCAGGTTATAGTTACACAGGGGATTCACTTAAGTATTATTCATTTAGCTGTACGTTATATTTTATGTATTTCCTGTATGTATGTTAACATCTGTCTCATACACACACAAATAAATCTTAAAAAAATATATATATATATCATTGTAGGAATCAAAGTTTGTGACCCTGGCCCAGATCTTGGATCTTGAACACAGCTGTGATGAGGGGCATGAGCCCGGCAAAGTAGGATGTTCAGACGGAAAAAAGAGGCCTAGGATGTACAGATCCCCTAGGAGCAGGCAACAGGTAAACACCTTGAAGTGTAGGACCAGGAAAAGGTTCCGCATCCCTTCGCACCCCCGTGCCCTGCTTACCCAGGTAGTTCTGCCAGCAGTTCCTGGTCTGGTTCTGGTTGGGGAAGCGGCTGTCAAAAGGGGCAGTCTGGTAGTTCTTGATTTTGGTCTTGATGTCTTCTGCCATGGTGCTGATTCTTGGAGGCAAAGAGAGTGGATGTTGGCAAAAGTTCTAGGGGGCCTGGGCACGGGGATGTCCGCCCACCCAGACACAGGAGAATGGAGTAGGTAGGTGTGAACAAGCCACCACTTTCTCCCTCTCAATATATACACACAGAGGTGAAGGGTGGGGCAAACCCACACATCTAAGTGTGGCAGTTACAGCAGGGCTTGGTGGAGGGGGGTTACTACTTAGCAAAATCAGGTCTTATTCGTTCCAAAATAACACCAGCTAACATTCACTGGTGCTTAGTCGAGGCCAAGCACTGTTCTACACTTTACTCCTGCAGCCACTCTAAAAGGTAGGAACTATTGCTATCACTGTTTCAGACAAGGGACCGGGCGTCTAAGTGACTTCCCAAGGTCATACAAGTGGAGGAACTGCACCCCATCATCGACAGAACCTACACTGCAGAGGTTCTTCATCTCTTTGGTGCCATGAACTCCTCTGGGGTCTAATGACCCTCTCTCAGAATATTTTTAAATGCATTAAAAAAAACTGCAGAGGATCACAAAGAACACCGGTTGTATGTAGCTGAGGGCTTACTGACTACCACAATTTTGAAGTAATCGAAAGTGGAAATGTATTCTGTGACATCTGCAACCATAATGTGATATAAGATGACCTGTGATTTTGACTGCTAATATTACTAAGGTTGTTGCCTCCAGTCCTAACTGAAGGATATGCTACATTTCAATTACAGATTAAGAAAAATACAGATGTAATTTTTTCCCCATTCAAGTCCTAGCACACCTTGCATTCTATTGATTTTGCAGACCCAGAGTTAAAAACCTGTTATAAAGTCTTTTAGGAGGTGACACGCAGTTTTCACCAGGGAATGTGAAACTGCCTCTATCCTAAAGAATTCGAATAATGGGGTTACAAAGAAGTGATCAGGCCAGTGTTAAATTCAAGAAATCCAAGATAGTGATGGGGATCTGGGGAACCACAGCGTTGTCTCTGGGGGAAAAGCATAGAGGGGCGTGGGGAGGGGGACGTAGAATACTAGCGCTGGGACCCAGATTTGTTCGGAGCAGTTGTTTTGCGGGGGGGGTTGGTTCATAGATGACTCTGAGGTCTCTCCAAAGTCCAAGCGGGAGGGAGGACCAGAAACTAGGGAGCCAGGCTGCGACCCGGGCAAGCCACGGGAGGCCACGCCTGCGGTCTGGTGATTGAGGGCACTACAGTCCAAACTACAGAATCCAAACCCTGGACACTGGCTAAGCAGCTAATATCGCTGAGCTTCAGCTGCGCCACTGTCAAAAAGGGATCATTACAGGCCCTACCTCATAGGGCTGGAGAGAAAACAAAATGAATTAATAAAGTCACTTGAAATACCTGGCATTAAAGAAGAGCTACATAATCGTTAGCTAGAGGACTACTAACAGAACAGAACCCCAGGGACCAGGGAGGCCGGACGCCGCGGGCTAGAAACTCACTTCGTTCTCGGGGAAACTAGAGTCCGGTTCCTCAATTCCCCAGGATAGGGTCCCAGCTATCCAAGCCCTCGACACTCACCTAAACACACCACAGCAGCACCTCGCAGCTCAATGTCACCCTCAGCAAAAACGCCAGAGTCGGACCGGAAGCGGAATTAAGACCGGCCGGAAGTGAGGAGAGGCCGAGTAAATGAGAGTCTTCCGCATGGCTAGAGCGCCCTCGTGGAGGCCGTCCGCGAAGCCATTAAGGCCACGCCCATCCGGGCGAACCCCGAACTCCTATTGGGCTGAATGCCTGTTCATCATCACTCTCGGCCCAATCGTGAGCTTGCGTGGCACTTCGAAGGGCCAGTGGGGGCTTGAGGCGCTGGTTACCGGTTCTCATCACCCTCCTGTTTTCACCTAGGGAAAAGAGTTTTGTTTCTTGGGGCTAGTTGTGGAGTGGGCCTGGGGAAAATATCCCAGCAGAAGTATCCTTATTCATGCAAGAATTACTTATTGAACGTTTACCCTGTGCCAGGTACTTCTGTAAGGCTTGGGGAAGCATCACTGAACAAAACACAAGAATCCTTACCCTCTTTATGCTTATTACGGTATCAATTGTTAGGGGTTTGAAATCGAACCAGTTTTTCTCCCAGGGTCATTTGCCACATTATGAGGAATACCCAGACTCCACGTCCCTGTTCATTATCTTCTTTCCCCAGGCCTCAGAAGGCACAAATTAACACAGATTTGGGTTCCTGAGGACTCAAACCAAAGTCCTGCATCATAGGAGGGGTTAAGAATAAAAGCTTGGGTCTGGCAGAAATTAATCCATCTCGGAAAGTGACACATCTATGCTTCTAGTCACAGAGGTAGCTCTGACTCTCATACCCCACAGCTGATCTGTCAAGAAATCCTGTTGGCTCTGCCTTAGCAATATATCCAGAATTTTCTCCGACATCCGGTTCAAGTCACAGGCACCTCTAGCCTGGGCTATTGCAGTAGTCCACTCCCTGGCCTCCTGGCTTCCCCACTGCCCTCCACAATCATCCACTCAGCCAGAGGAGACCCTGTTAACACCTCAGTCAGATCACTTCCCTTTGGCCTAGAACCCTCCCCTTGGGTCTTGTCTGACTCTCTCAGTCAAAAGCCAAAGTCCTTACAAATGACCTACACAGTTTTGTCTCTCTTATACCCTCATTTCCTATCCTTCCTATCCTTCCTCCCACTGTCCCAGCCACACTGGCCTCCTCCTACTTAAACATGCAGGCTGACTTTCCTCTAAGGGCCTTTGCACTTGCTGTCCCCTTGACCTGCAATGCCCTTCCTGAAGCTGGCTCCCTCCCTCACCTCCTTCAGGTCACCTTGGTTAGTCCTTCCCAGACCAGATATTTAAAATGGGCATCTTGTCAGTCCATGGGAGGACCATTCTTTTTTAGGGGCTCAGTGGTTCCCAGAATGGGGTAGGGTCTCCTTGGGGTCTAGATCGTAGTTCTATCACCCTCAGCTTGGAGTGGGAAGACAGGAGGTGGTTTGGGGGATCAAACCCTAGGCCTAATTTTCCTTAGGAAAAGCACCGGAAGGACACACATAAACTGTTTTTTGGAGTCTTGAGTCCTCTCTTCAGGAGGGACACGGTAGGTAAACTGAAAGTTAGTGATTGGGTCTGATTCCTTTACAAGTCCCAGCACAGGCAGGCACATACTAGGCCCTGTAGGGACTGAGACGATTCCTTTGAAAGTCCCATCACACAGTGAGCACACAAGTAGGTCCCCTAAGGGTCTGGGTGTGTCTTAGGGTCACACAGGCGGGGGGTGGGGGTGGCGGTGGGATGTGAGTGTGGTGGTGCACACTTAGAGTCCCTATTCGGTTTACTCAGTATCCGTGGGAAGGATGCAGGCAGCACTCACGACTAGTTTGATGGGATATTTTTATTGGGTCGCTCCTCCCGGTCCACCCCCAGCGCAGTCCGGATAGGCCAGGCCGGGCACGCGGCCCCCGAAACGGTACGTGTACTTGCGCCCACCGCTCTTGCGCACGATGTCGCGACGGTAGTAGTAGCGCAGGCCTCGGCTCAGTTTCTCGTAGTTCATGCCGGGTTTCCTCTTGCGCTCACCCCACAGCCGCGCCACCTAGGACAGAGGCCCGGCTTAGTCTGAGAGGGCAGGAGGGAGCGGGGCTTGGCCACTGACGGGCGGGGCGGGGGGTGCGGTTTCGGGTACGATCTGGACGCGAGTTAGTCCAGGTGACTCCCCGCGGGGTTGAGAGGAGTACGAGCTGGGGGCGGAGCCAACTACTAGGCAAACAGAATGGCCCGGCTAAATTGAACGGGAGGAGACCGGGGCGGGATTTGGCGCGCCTGGGAGGCTCCCCCACCTCTCTGGGGTCACACAGCTGGAACTCGCGGCTGTTGCCAGTCCAGCGGATGCAGTTGCTACGCTCCCCGTCTCGGAGCAGCTCCAGGAGGAACTGCCACAGCTGAATGGGACCTGCAGAGTGCAGACAGGTGAACACTCAGGCTTCCTAGCCCCAGACCATGTCCCTTCGACGACCCAGCTGTCGGGGCTCCCTCGCTTCGAAGGTCCAGGGGTCCAGGTCCTCCCAACTCGGGGCCCAGAAGTCCAGATCCCCTCCTCCTCGGGGCCCAAAGAGTCCGGATCCCTCCATATAAGGAACCCAAGAATCGGCCTCAGGGAGCCACGCAGCCGAGGCCCCCATCTCGGAAACTTAGAGGAGTTTGGCTGCCACACCTTGGTGACCCAGGCATCCAGACCCTCACCTCTTTCCTCTCACCTAATCCAGGAGCCTAGGTTCTGGTCTCCTGCTCCCTATTAGACTACCAGTGTCTCAGTCCTCTTCTCCCTCAGGACCCACCCTCACCGCCTTTCCCGGGCTCTTAGGTAACTAAGCCCCGCACCTTCCCTGCCAATTTCCCGGGTCCCGCCCTAACGCGCCTAGACCCCGCCTCACTGGAGTCTGGTGGGGCGGACTTCTCACCTCGGTGGTTACTTTTGGGGTAACAAGCCAAGGTTACGCCGCCCGACTGCTGGCTTGGTTCGGAGGACGTGGTGAGATCTGAAGTCTGGTACCCCTTTGAAGAGGTGGTGCAGTCCGTTTGCAGCCCCGAGACCCAGGAGGTGGTATACTCTGAGCCCGCAGGCCCACCCAACGAAATGGTAGAGTCCGCGCTCGGCTCCCCGCGGAGGCCCTTGCCCCAGTAGGTGGGGCCGTCGAGGCCAATAGAACAGTCCCAGTTGGTGGAGCTGGCGGCGGCCTGGGCGCAGGACCACGAGTTGGTCCCTCCCCCGGAGGTGGTACAGTTCTGGCCCGCGGCCCCCGCGGCACCAGCTAAGGGGGCGGGGCCCAGGCCGGGAGGGGCGGGGCCCAGGGCCTGGAAGACGCCGCTCCAAGGGTCGGAGCCGGTGCACTCCAAGTCTGTCCAGTCTCCCGACCACCGAAGAGCCTGAGGGGCGGGCTCTGTGAGGAGTAACAGACCCCAAGTGAGGGGAGCACAGGTGTCCCGGTCCCCGGCCCCCTCAGGGGTTCTTGGGAGTCTAAGCTCTCAGCCCTGGCGCCCTGGGCTCCCGGATCTAGGCCATGCCATCTCGAGGACACAGGGGTTCCCGTCCTAGCCCCGTTCCCCTCAAAGATCAAAGAGTTTAAACCTCTAGCTACGGTGGAGGACCCTAGTCCCCTCCTTACCCCGCCTCTGCGCACACACTCACCCGCCCCCCATGGAGCTTCTGGGTGCGGTAACGCGGAGCCCCAGTCCGGCTGTGGGAGCCCTGTGAGGGATAAGAACGAGCAGAGTTTAGGGAAGGGTGTGAGCAATGACTAGAGACGCCCCCTCGACCACTCACTCACCCAGCAGTCTATTTGTCAGGGACTGAGTTATTGCCCCCAGCCCCTACTCACTCACACCTAGAACTCAGGACCCTGGCCTCGTCCTCTTTCAACCTCAGGACTTCAAGCCAGCAGCCCTCTCCCCCTTCAGCCTCAGGAGTCCAGGCACGCCCCCTTCCTCCCTCAGACCCAGGAGCCCAGCCTCTCACCTTCCTCAGCTCCCAGGAGTCCCAACCCACAGTCACCTTTCCAGCGTGTCTCCGCTATCAGCGTGTCCCCGGGGAGCGCCAATTCGGGGAAATAGAAGCCGAGTTCAGCTCCTTCTGCAGGCAATGAGGCGGGTAGGGCCGGGTCGGGGTCAGCGGAGGCCCCCATCTGTGCACCCTCCCCTCACAAGGACTCAGCCCCAGCAGCCTACCCAGCCCTGACAGCCTGTTCCCTGGGGGCACTTCCTGTGGAGACGCTTCATCCCAGTTCCAGATGTCCATGGATGCTCCTTGTGAATGTTCTGGACAGGGGAAAAAAAGGGGGTAAGGGGTGAGCTGGTGACACTTAGGGACCCTGGAGTCTGGGCCCCAGCTCTTGCTTCCCTCAGACCCAGGAGTCCGGGCCTTTTGCTCCCTCCTTCCCCAGGACCCTGGAATCTTGGCCTCCCGTGTCCCTTTTCTCAGACTAGGAGTAAGGGACCTCAGCCCTCTCCTCCCTCAGACCCAGGAGTCCAGGGCCCCAGACATTCAGTCCCCAGTTCATGGCTCACCTCTGGCGGGTTTCTCTGTCCCCGGCCAGGGGTCTCAGCCCCATTTCATACCATGTACCCCCTCCCCTGGGGGCCTGGGCAGGGGGGAATTTTCCGAGACGTCAGAGCCGGGGGTCGCAGCCGGGTCGAGTTGCAGGGCCCGGGGCGGGGCCAAGCACCCCCCGCCCACCCCCCACCCCTCAGGGATGGCCGCCTGCCTCCTGATAGCTACAACTGTCCTGCTGCAGGGGTGGCTTGGACTTGGGACAGGAGCTTGGGGAACGGCGGGCTGTGAGAGACCCGGGGTGCGGAGGCGTGTTTACGGGGTGATGGGGGTGGAGCGGGGGGGGGGTTGGGTGGCCAGGTTTTCCGTCTTGGGGACTTGATCCTACGACATGGGGGGTAGGGGGGAGGGCCTGGGGTCAGCTAGGCTGCGCCAGGCTTATCTGCAACAGGAAGGGGGATTTCCGGCCAGACCCCAGGTCCGCCAACGTCACAATCTGTGGGGGGACTGCGAGGCGGGGTGGAGGAATATGGTTGGGGGAGGCCGACCCAGGATCCCCTTCGAGGGCTTTGAGGACGTTCTGGGGCTGCTTTTGAGGAGTGTCAATCATGATAACACATCAACAAT